TGTGGTGGTGTCCATTTGAGGTTTTATTTGTTTTTTATATGTAATTATTCTTGTCAAATAGTCTAAGAAAGAGACGAGAGCTAACGATATTATAAATGTCAATTTGTTATCGTACGTTGTCAATGCAAAAAAATGCAGGTTTTTTTGTTTCAAATTGTTTCTATTTAGCTGTAAGTTAGTTCAGAATGGAAGACATTTTTCTTTTCATCTTTTCCAATTTCATTTTTATAACGATTAAGTGCCTTTTAAAATGTATATGAAGATTATAGTTCCTAAAGTTGTTTATACATGATATATGTAGCTTATTGTAATTAAATATGTAGATTTTATACTCCCCGAGAAGAGCGAGGCGAAGAGAACGGTATGTAGTACAGAGATGAGTATACGAGCTCGCGGCCGCCCGCCCTTATCTACTGTGATCGCATGGCGCGATATTAACAACAAGCCCGTTCGTCTTGATCGAACTGCTGGCGACGAGTCGCCGTCGCGCTTGCCTATTATTAACACATAACAATATGAGTATACAGAAAGAGAATAAAAAATTAATACAATTATATGCATGCCGTAAATTCTAAGTTAGAAAAATGTAAACCGCTTGAGCGATCAAACTTGAGCCTCCTCGCTCGCCTCGCTATCGGCAATCGGAAAAGAATGAGCTTTACTAGGGTAGAGCGGGGTCAAAAGTAACAATTTGACTTTAGAATTTTATTGTAAAAAAACTATTACAGTAAAAAAAAATTTTTGATATCCCAAGTTAGCATATTTATTTCACTTTATGGAAATCATAACATTTAAGCCTTGTGATGAATAACATTAAAATTATCAATCAAAAATGAAAGCAAGGAAAAATGTTACAATCGCCCCAGACTCCGGGCCGGTTGTAACACTATTAGGGGTCAATTGTAACAATTTTAAATAATCAAAATTAAAAGTTTTTATTCAACGAAATTATAATAATTCTTCTTATATTAGCAGAATTAAACTAAAATATTCATATTCTTATATAAAAAAGTAGCAAAATAAAGATTTATTCTTTTAAAATTCAGCTTTTTTGATATTAGCAGAAATAAACTAAAATATTCATATTCTTACACAAAAAAATAGCAAAATAAAAACTTATTCTTTTAAAATTTAACTTTTTTATATTAATCATAGAAAACATTAACTTTGTTAACTCAAATTATAACAAGATATAAACATTTTTTGCTCTTATTTCTAAATAATGATTTTTCAATTAGAGTAATAGGAACACAGTATCATTAAGAACTATTAATACAAATAGAGATTACTCTGCATCACAGTTATGACAAATATATAAGTCATTTATATATTATATAAATTATATCCTGTCAGTCTTTCTAATCTTAGTACGAGGCATTCTGAAATAAAAATAGTTTACTTATAATCCAAAATGAAATAAATTGCATCAGTCGGAGTCGGTTGTAACGTTACATTCGACCCCAGACAATGATGTTACAATCGTCCCCGACTATGTTTGTCAACTTTGATTTAAAATTTTTAATGATAAAATATCAAAAATGGATATGCAACAATTATTATAATATACAAAAATAACTAAATCTAAATATAAATAAAAAAAAAAGAGCTTACTTGCGGTAGAAATATTTATATTCAAAATTTAGCACGCTCGGAAAAAGATACTTTATGACCTCGAAAATATATTTTCGTCACTGTACACGTTCACTCAGTACCGAGGCCGCAGACGTATTGAGACATGTTGTAGGTTGTTTAGCTTCATGCACTGACCAACGCACGCGTATATATCTACTATAAATCTATAGATATTTGAGTTGTTACTTTCGCCCCGTGTTACTTTTGACCCCGCTCTACCCTATAGGCTGGGTTAATTCTGTGGTAGCCATACGGAGACTTACAACACGGATTTGACCCAGTGTTGCTCTCGGAGACGCTTTTTCGCGCATGCGCAGCGCAGTGGTAGAGAAATCCAGCGACGGCGTATATAGTTAGTATGTAGTGTGCACACAAGGGCAATTAGGCGCGAAAGTTTAGATGGGTTCCAGAGGGGGCTAAGTATAGGCTAGGTAAGTAATAATAAATAGATATTATTTTCTTTATTAGTATGGAGGATAAAAACAAAAAAGGAGTCATTAAGAAAGAAAGACGTTTTGTTAATGCATGGCTAGATGAAGATAATTTTAAAGGATGGTTGGCTCCCCATCCAACTGAAAATAAAGCTTTTTGCAATTTATGCAATACTACCATCAGATGTAGCAAAACCGATTTAATACGGCATTCGCAAAGGGCCAAACATATAGAACAAGTAAATCTTCAAAGCCTCGATCATAATAATAACAATGGTCTGCATATTGATAAAGTTAAACGCGCGGAAATAAAATTAGCAGCATTTTTTTCGGAACATAATATTGCTTTTTATACTGCAGATCATTTAATTCCTTTATTAAAAAATATTTGTATAGATTCTAAAATTGTGCACGATCTTTCACTGGCCCGAAAAAAGTGCACTAACTTTGTTAAAAATGTAATCGCAAGACGCGAAACTGAAAAAATAATTGATATTTTGCAAACGCGCAGATTTTCAATTTTAATTGATGAAAGCACGGATATTTCAGATTTAAAAATTATGTGTGTTCTTGTACAATTTTTGTCACCAGATGATAAAGTTAAAACGCAATTATTAGACTTAATATCTTTAAATGCTACGGATTGTTCAGCTAATAAAATTTACAAATCTTTTAAAGAACTTTTAAATAAAAAGCAGATTCCTATTAAAAATATAATTGGTATGGCAAGTAATAATGCATCTGTAATGATCGGATGCAATAATTCTACTTGTTTTATCTTTTAATATTAAGAAATCGGTCGGGTTACGACATCCCTTCCCCTTCGGAAAAAGAAAATTAACTATACGTGAATTTTCGTCTACATATTTTTTTGCTATACATTTTTCGCATTTTACAATTGTTTCTTATATCTACTTTATTTCAATATAGCATTGCAGTGTTGATTATCGCAGTGTCGGTTTCTATGTTAGCTATTACATTTGATTCGCTTGCGGTGCCGTAGATGTGCTCTTGAATTATTTTCGGTTTGCACATCGGATTTATATTGAGGTTTTCCTGATGCATCGGCTTTCTTAGGGACTACCAATAACGGTGCGTTCCATTGACTCGTGCTTGATCTGATTATTCCATTTTTTAAGAGGATGCCGGATTACCGACAGAACGCGAATATTAGTAGGATTGCAAAATTTCTGATGTATGTACATGTGTTGTATTTAATTATAGTTAAATAGAAAAAGAAAATAACTTATTGTTGTGTATCTCATTCATTTATGCTTTATAAAATATAAATAAATAAATTTATTTATTTTTATCATATGTAGGGAGACGAGAATAGAAAGAATAAAAGTTGAGCAAATAAAAGAATATAATAATGAGAATAAAAGAATACAATAATGAACGAGCAGAGAAAAAAAGAGAGAGAGAGCGAATGAGGAGCAAGCGAGATCATCCGATTTATGTCATATTTAGTGTCATTTTAATTGCAAAAATGTTATTAATCCTGTAACAAGCCGCTTTCGCGAGGCGGGCGACGAATAACTCGGTCGGGATCCTGGGTTCGGGAAAGCGGTATCGAGACACGAATGCGATTGGTTGTTTGGTAAAAATTTAATTTATTGCGTGTAAATGTGTGTTGGTACAGCGTGCGTGTATGTATAGGTGTGCGA